GATGTTCTTAAATATCTTTGGTTCTTTACTTAAAGGAATCTTTAAGTATATGTAATTACTCTAAGATAAATACGGAAGTTTAGCTGCCGTCACTGAATTAGGAAGTGGCAAGTCATTTTTCGTGTGTAAAGATAATTTTTAACTATATAAGGTGTTACGTCACTAGTCATACTTATAAAATGGAAGCAATTAGTAACTTAGATAATGAATTTTGCTTTGGAATGTATCAAACACTACATAATTTCATGTTACGTGCTTTATTAATAAAGGGTTAATAAAGTTATCGCATTATTGTAATGGCATTTAGTTGCGTTACGATGGATAGGTTGCAAAACACATTACAAAATATGTAAGGAAATCAGATTATTTACTCAATTATGTCAATGTTCATTACATTTCATAGGTAACATAGAACGAATACAATCCAAAATAAGCACTAGGACAATATAAATAAGAATAAACTAACTTGTAACAACTGTATATGTTATCCATTGGTTGGTCTCGCCAACGAATCCACGATCTAACGGTCTAATCCGCCAGTGGAGCACCTACAAGTCCGCGGACTTTAAAACTGGCGGACTTGTAAGCTGGCTAATGTTGTGTATACTTGAAATTCTACTTCCGCTATCAAAAAATCCTCCAGTGGATAGGACCATTTTTGTTATGTCCGCCTTTTCTTAAAATATGTAGTGGATACCAATATTGTTGTACAAAGGAAAGGCAAGGACAGTGTAAACTAACGCCAAAAGAAAAGGTTGAACCGTCAAATAGCCGTTTTAAAATATCAAATAGGTTTCGGCTATACGTTTAAAATTTAAAAAATGCTTCAGCTAGGAATAAAGTCTTCGATAGTTAGAGTAATGAGTAAGGATACAGTTGTCTTAATGTGTTTCCGTTGCGTGACCAAAAGTGGGCGCGTGTTGGCATCGGCTGAGGTCGACGGAAGTGGACGATTTCTTTGTCCGACATAATTAGCCTCTTGAGCTGGGAACTCACATACAAACCATTATACTGATAATACTAAATAACGTTTTTCTTACATTCCTCTAATTATCCAAATGACAACTTCATGCTTTAAAAATAATCCTGTACGATTTGATCCTATGTTAAAATTGCGTCATGGAAGTGTCGATCCAAAAGTTACATGAGAGAAAAAGAGAAGTTTAAATTGAAACAAAACGTATTATAAGCGTATTTTTATATTTAAATATATATAAGTATATTAAACTTTTACATGTGAATGTCTGAGGTGCGAAAAGAATGTTACATGTTGCCCAATTGTTGTTTAACAATGTGTGCCACGCATTTAAACAAAAGTAGAGTATTGTGAACTTATTCGGAAGAGCAAAAGTTACTCAACAGTATCGACAACATAACATTGGCAAGGCTTCGGTTCGCAAGAAGTGTGGCGCAAGTCTGCGGTGACATCGTTGCCTAGTTTTGAGTGGCACCGAATTATGTAACGAGTGAACAACGCCCGAATCGAGGTCGCATTGTACGGACGGCTCGGAAGTGCGTTACGTTTCGACATTTCGAATTTTATGGCAACATTTTTTTTCTTTATTGTTTGATTTTATCTCTTCATTTTCTATTCATCGATGTTTTAATAAAATAGATAAACATCCAAATGAATTATGTAAATTAAAAACCGTGTTCTGATTTCAAAAAGGTGTCATAATTATTTTGTAACTTAGATCCATTATGAACTACCTACGAAATAACTAGTCGGAATCCAGTCATTAACGAGAATCTCTATTTAAATGTTTCATTCCATAAATATGCATAACCTACATTTTAAGTCGACGACTGGCGCTAAAATAAAAAGCCGGTGAACCGGGTCAGCGCACAGGAAGTGCCGCCATTTCCATGCGATTGCAATTTCAAATGGCACGCCATCCGGTCTAGACTTTACACATCGACGCTTTAAGATTTACTCCTTAAAAGCGTACCAGCTGTGGTTAATTTTCCTTTGAATAAATAGGTCAAAACGATCTTCTTGTATCCTATCGTCTCGTGAACGTGAACGTGAACGTGAACGAAATGAATACGTGGAAAATTAAAGAAATGTTAAATGCGTTACTTTTAAAATTCTGTATAAAATACATATTTTTACTTATTTATTGACAAATGTAGATACATACGTACAAGTAGAACGTAGAAGGATTTGTATTATGTGAAATAAGTAGTATATTTATATATCAAGCGTATATGTTATGGGAACGTGGATAATACATACAGATTCAGCACATATTATGTGTACATAATTTTCCCATGCAGCCATATAAAGTTTGTGTCGTAACGTACAGCCTTGAACTACACAGCACATGTAAGGTTACATAATGTAGTTCATTCGAGATCTACTCATCTGTGAAAAGCTTTCAATATCTCTGTTTAAATGCAATCAAAAGTTATTTATTTTAGGGTAGGAACACATTGGGTTATTAGTTTATACTCGTTTTGTATTCTTGTAATTAAAAGTTAATGTTTTAATTAAATTTTATGTGCATGAAACGTAAAATATATTTTAATCGGTTTACGATATTAACGGATGTGGGCTAACTTCCTCTCAGCGGTTCCTGATCCGGTTGGCGGACATTAGCGGAAGTTGAAGCAGATATTCGCGACCCCCCTCCCCCGCGCCCCGCGACCCTCTCGTTTCCGGCAACCCTAAAGCGAACGTTTTTAATTTCCTTTTGTAACTAGAACTTATTTCCTTTTAAATAATTAAAGGAAAAGGAGTTACTATCGTGTTTATACAGTATTGTGGTCAAATCGAGATTAATCATCTATATTTAAGATAATTTTAATACATATGTGAGAACCATCTTACGATTTAATAAACTATCAAATGTATTAAACAAATAAAATCAAAAAACAGTGTAATAATTCAGTTAATTGATTACATATTTGTTATTCGCGAATAGACAAGGTAATTTGTGTGGAACCACTAAAAAACGAGTATAATTTTGCTAGTCAATTAACGTTTTATGTTTAATTTAGTCAATCTACCTATTTATTTTTAACATCAGAGGTAATGATAAAGCTCAGTAATATTGATCAGGACATAGGGTAGTAGATATTGCATAGAATGGAAAACCGACAACTGAGGTTCTAGAATATAGACCATATATGTATCTCAAACTAAGGTGCATTGTCGCGTATAAATAAATTAGTAGGTTGATACAAAAAAGGAAGTTTCAGTGTAGGAATAAAAATATGAATGCTAGAGCTAAAATGAACAGAGGCAAGTTGTCTGTTAGATTGTAGGTACCTACATATGCCGCTCACGCAATGAACTTATTTCGGGCACTTCCGCATGTTCAGATTCGAGTCCGGCCGCGCGTCGCATTCCGACGGGGCCGCCACCACGCACCTCTGACTAAATATTTCCTCTGTAGCTCACATATCTACCTCTGGGCTCACAAAAATCAAACTCCTTTTTCTACATTATTACAAATTGCAGTACTCGAACCTACCACGTATATTTTAAAATGGCGCCAATTTCGTCATATTCACATACTAATAACGTAATAAGCAATATAAACTTATCAACACTCAAACATAACAATCCATAGATAACAAAAGGCCGTCGATGACAAAAAACGAAAATAAACACGATAGACAATGTAAGCGATCGCGTAACATTTATAAAATCGACAAAGAAAGTAGCGTCAAGATCTGCGGTCACGGTCACGACGGCCACGTACGGTTCAACATCGTTGTGTTTTATTTTCCAAATTACTCCACAACATGAAACTACTCGACGCCTAACCACAGACTAGGCCGCCATGTTTGTACGTGCCAGAGCGAGACGGCTGCCACGACGTCGCGAGCGGGGAGCGAAGGGAGCAACAGGTAAAGATTCCGAGGCCACTTCCGCCTCGGCTGCCGAATATTTCTGTCTCGAACCGGTAGTGGGCCTGTGTCGGTTGCCAGACCTCTTTAAATCTCATATACGCGGAAAGGGTTGAATTTTATGAAGTAACAGGTAAAATAAAACAAACCATTGTTTTTCCCTCATAATTATTTACAAAAAAAACTTTCATTATAGTTAGTAGTTTTTAATGATAGCGAAATAAACACACTAGCTTTTTTGTAATTAATTAACGTTATGGTACCTACATATTCTTATATAGATAACATTAGTGTTCAAAATATAATCGCTAAGGAACGTAGATATGATACATAGGTAGGCAGGTATGTTGATAGTCGAATGAGCTCAGCTAAAACCGGTTGACGTTCATATTGTCTCACTCTGCATCAGGAAACCGGCAGCGGGTGACTGTTCAGACATTTCCTGTGTTCGATCATCGTGGGTTGCGCAGGCGGCAGGCGCAGCCAAACTTCTGAACATCAGATAACATTGTTCGCTAAAGCATGTTAATATTCTAAACTTATTAATACGCCACCAACCCTATTTGTTATAGGAAGGCTACGTTGTCAATTTGTACAGGCACAGTTAACAAATAACTAATTTCTGTCAGATAAATGGGTAATAATAGGTACCCTGCCTACTTTGTCTACAGATGGTACTTTACCTACGTGGTTCAATTTTACCCTAAAAATATTATATAATATTTTCGAAAAAAACGTTGAATCAAACTTAAAAGAAGATAGACATGTTTTACCGACGACTGCTTAGGTGCTCTACAAACAAGGAAATATTGAGTTATTAAAACTGGCGCGCTGACGTAATCTTAATATTATTAGCACTTCCGCGTGCCCTAGGCAGATACAGGTATTCTAGCGCCGAGCAAAATGAAATAACTAGACGATTTCTTACGATGCAAATTTTCACAATCGACTTGTTGATTTACTCCGATGCCGTTTTACGTTCGCGGAAATAATGTTCGTACTTGCGTATAGTTAAAAATGGGACGCGGTCTCAGACTGGCTCCCGAAGTTTTATCTCGTTCTCCGCAATATGTGTGGCGACAAGCGCGGGGCCGTGTTGAACGCGCGGGGCGCGGGGCGCGGCAAGCGCTCGTCCGTCCGCCCGCGCCGCCACCGCATCATCAGTCCGCGTCGGAGAGTTGCCCGCGACGCTTGTCTGCGAGCTCGATCCCTCAGATACGCTGCTGGTTTACGGCGTGCCGTAACACGACACGTTTGGAGGGACCGCCGCTGCTTTTAAGTGTACCTGGTGCTCTGTGAACTCTGGATACTGTGCTTTAAGTGTTGTGACGATGTATATGTGCTGATTTATCCTGTTCCCGTCTATCGCCTCTAGGATTTCTTCGACAACGCACCCAGTTCCGGATCAGCTCAGCCGGTATGTAGCAGCGCTTATCACTGGCCGCGCTATCTCGTATTCACGCATTTCCGACCCCGCCCGATAACAACTAGCTCGCTACCACAGTTAAAACTTTGTGTTCAGTTAATTCGAACACCATCAAACTATGATTGTTTTATTAGATGCCCTGCATTAAAAATTGACAGATGGAAAACGATAAACAATCAGAAAGCTGAACAAATAAACAAACTTACAAAATAAAGATGTGAAAACATTAAGTTTTGCTAAATTAAGAAAATGTTATAAAGTACTGATTGTGCTATCTATTAGCACATGGAATTAGTTGTAATGTATTCATGTAAATTATTTTTCTTATGTTCATCCGATATTGCACCCTATCGGTATTATGCACGTGCAACATTTCACCCCTTAATTTTTTTCTGTCCGATCATCCCCTGAGGCTTAGATGTTCCATTTCAATAATAATTCTTCCCCTTTATTGTTGCAGTGACACTTATTCATAGGGTACAATGAAATGTTAGCTTGCAGGTGTCTATTGTACAAAAGTTTTATTCGTCTCAAAGTTATAGTATTAAATATATGAAATCATTTTCTCTTATATTTTTAACTTCCTGCAATTAAAAATATAAGAGATAATGATTTCTGATGAGTTCTATGTCGGCTAATCGGTCGGTAATTTTACTTGAAGTCTTGTCTCAATAATAACGCATCTCAGGTTCTTAGATAAATGTTCTATGTAAATTAAATAACTCCTTTTTACAGAGGAATTTATTTTGCAATCAAAATAATTAGCAAAGAGATCATTTGGAACTTGTTAGTTGGTGGTTATCATATTATCACAAATCGAATTATACGAATCCCTGAAAGATCTAAAATAATCACTTTCTATTTCATCGGCAAACGGATATAAACGAGAACTGTACCATATTTAAAACTACAAACAAAACAAAATAAAGTATTATTTAGAAACGATGTACGCAGCGCCATCTGTTGTCGAGTAGTTGTTACGACATTAAAATCACATTCATTCGGTAAACAATAGTCATAGCAACATCATCTTTATTTTCAGATCAACGTGATGAAAGTAGTGAGTCTACAATTGCCGTCGGGGCCCAGTATGGAGCGGCTACCGCTGCCATTTAGCCCAACGGAACTATTATGGCGGTATCCACTACCGTGGGCGCCGCCGCCCCCGTCACCCCTTGGTGATACGAAGGCACAGCTCCCCGCCGGCCTTCCGCCAGAACCAAGACTATGGACACGTGAAGATGTAGCAGTTTTCTTAAAATGGTGTGAAAGAGAATTTGATTTGCCCAATTTTGATATGGACCTCTTTCAAATGAATGGTTAGTAAACTTTTTTTTTTCAATTCATTAAAATTTTATTAAAAATGCGAACATGTTTAAATTGTAAACCTTATTTGCAGGAAAGGCACTATGCCTTTTAACTAAAACCGACCTGGGCGAACGTTGCCCCGGCGCCGGCGATGTCT